TCCCTACACCAGGAAAGGTGTCAGACAGAGGCTTCCTACCTGCTAGCCTGCTTTTCAGTGCTGCATGTTTAAATACTACAGTCAAACATGCTGTGTTTGCTCTATTTACTCTAGAGAGAAGTCAGGTCAGGTTTAGAAAGGGCAGGATCACATCTTCTGGCCTGCAGGCTGGTATTCTCAGGGAGATCTGAAGGCTGCCACACAATCAGACGTTTGGGGGGCTGACCTACTTTTCACATGTCTCTCTTGCCCATTTGAAGTTTATTTTTGGATTGGTGGCAGCACAACATTGCTGCTGAGTTATAAACGTGGCACAGAGCCCCATGCCATGCAACAAGTCAGCAGGAGGGTTATGAGTTCCACCTGCCCATTCAAACTACAGTGAGGTCCGATGTTTAAAGCAAGGAGAGCTTAATATATTTTATCCTGTTTCTGCCTTACTGCAAGTTTCTGGACACACATCTGTCGAAATGTCCTTTGGTTTTTGTCCCTTCGTTTTTTAAAGCATCCAGAACTTGAATTTCTAGCTCCAAACCCCCTAAGGTCCACTGAGTGCATCCGGAGAGCAGAGCAAGACAGTGACACATGGGCTTTTGGGGGAGAAGCTGAGCCATATTGTCGTGGTTTAAAGCTTGCTGTACACATGCATACTGAGAGGCCACTTAAGAAGGTAATGTTGAAAAAGGACTTTGAGACCTTCTGGTGTGGAGCTAGGTAGCTTCCTTTTAACGGTAGGACACTACAATATAACAGTGCAACAGCCCACCAGCGTGGTACGATTTGGGGTGCAATTACCAATCGCTCAGAGAAATTTTTGAGAGATGAAGGATTTTTAGTAACCAAGCGATGCTTTGGTATTGCGGCTATTTAAGTGCATCAGTCAGCTGTTGAACTGATGGTTTTCTAGAGAGCAGCTCTCCAGTCTGAGTTCAGACTCCGGGTTACATAAATCGTTAATAAGGACATGTAGAAATAGTTTAATCTGCAATTACTTAATTCTCTTTGATTAACCAATTACAACAGGCGTTTCCTCAGCTCTGCTGATGGCAGCGCTTCGTAGCAGGGCTGCAGCCCGCGCTAGCTGCTCTTGCCGCTTCTCCACTGACAGCCGCCTGGCTCTGACGGCGCAACGCTCTAATTAACTGCAGCTTTTTATTACTATTTTCTTAAAAAACGGACTAATATCTTCATAGGCTACTTTTTACCCACAGAAATCCCTGAGGTTTTTTCTGTTTCCAGAATAACTAGGGCACTTAATATGCCATTGACTGACGCACAAACGCCAGGACCAGAATCCCTCTATTGTCCCTGAGGATCAAATGCTTGTAGCGAGCCGGGCGTTTGCGTCTCTGAAGTTGGCATTGAATGTTTTCCCTTGGCTAGCAGTAGGAAACAGAAGGCTGAATGCTGCCGACATGCTCGTTGCAGGGTGCTTTCGGAGCTCGTGG